TTTTATATTATTTATCACTTAAAAAAATATATCTTTCTCTTTCTAACATCTTTTGTAAAACTAAAGGTATTGTGTCTCTCAAATGGTGGTCCAAACTACCTTGTCGATTTACCCCTTTCAAACAGAAAATTTACCTGGTATAATAGCAATGGGTCTGCTCAAAGTAGATTGGATAGATTTCTTTTATCAGAAAATTATCTGGAATTCTAGGGCAATTGTGTTCAACTTGCATTAAAAAGAAGCATCAGTGACCACTGTCCTATCAGTCTAAGCTCAAGCAACCATGATTGGGGTCCCAAACCTTTCCGATCTATAAATAGCTGGACAATGCACCCCAACTTTAATCCAATGATTGAGAACTTGTGGAATTCCTTTGAAATTGAAGGATATTGGGGGTTTAAATGTAAAGAAAAGGTCAAAAAGCTTAGGCAGCACTTGAAGACATGGAACAAGGAAGTATTTGGCAATATTGACAGCCAACTTGAAGAGGCACTGAAGAAAATTGAGATAGTCGATGTTAGATGTGAAGATCAAGATCCTTCAGATGATGATATTCTCAAAAGAAAAGATGGATTTGCAGAGTTATGGGTTTGCCTTAAGAAGAAAGAAAGTCTATGGCGAAAAAAATCTAGGGCAACCTGGATCAAGGAAAGGGATGCAAATACTGGCTTTTTCCATAGGATTATTAATGGTAGGAGAAAGAAGAATATGCTCTGGAGATTGACAACCATGGCTCCTGGATTGATGAGCCCATGTAATTGGAGCAAATAATTATGGATCACTTTAAAAACCAATTCTCTTTTCAATCTTACCAACAACCAAGACCATGTTTAGAGCACCTACAATTCAGCAAATTAAATGAACAAGATAAGCTTATGTTGGAAGCAGAATTTTCAGATGATGAGATCAGAGATGCTGTTTTTTCTTGTGCAAGTGACAAAGCTCCAGGGCCTGATGGTCTTAACTTTCATTTTATCAAGACGATCTGGAATACAATTGAAAGAGATGTTATCAACTTCATCAAAGAGTTCCATCGAAATGGGAAACTAGTTAAGGGCCTAAATTCATCTTATATTACGCTAGTCCCTAAAAAGAAAAATCCCACATCCTTGAAGGAATTCAGGCCGATCAGCATGGTTGGGTGCTTATACAAAATCCTAGCTAAGGTACTTGCTAATAGACTTCAGAAGGTAATTGGTAAGGTGATAAGTGCAAGTCAATCTGCTTTTCTAAAAGGAAGGCAACTTGTTGACAATGTTTTAACTAGAAATGAGCTTGTGCATGACATGAAAAGTAGGAGAAAAAAGGGTATTATCTTTAAAGCAGACTTTGAAAAGGCTTTTGATTCTGTTGATTGGGGCTATTTGGATACAATTCACCATCTACTTGGCTTCGGTGAGAAATGGCGAAGTTGGATCAAAGAATGCTTATCGTCTGCCTCTGTCTCTGTTCTTGTCAATGGAAGTCCAACACAAGAATTCAAGATGCAGAGAGGACTAAGGCAAGGTGACCCTCTTTCTCCATACTTATTCCTTATTGCTGCTGAAGGCTTGCATGCTCTTCTCCTTGAGGCAGAAATGAAAGATATGTTTAAAGGGGTGAAGGTTGATGAGAATACTTTAGTTTCTCACCTTCAGTTTGCTGATGATACTGCTCTCCTTTGTGAGGCTTCTACTAATTCAGTTTGGACTATCAAATGTGCATTGCGATGGTTTGAGATTATGTCTGGGCTCAGAATTAATTTCAATAAAAGCATTTTGTATGGGATTAATGTGGATGAGCAATGGCTTAGCATGGCAGCCTTGGCCTTGAATTGTAAAGTTGGGAAATTACCATTTATTTACCTTGGGCTTCCTGTTGGTGGTAACTCGCATCGTTATAGCTTTTGGAAACCAGTGATTGAAAAATTTTGATCTAAATTGGCATCTTGGAAGGGCAAGCTCTTATCATTCGGTGGTCGTATCACGCTTCTCACGTCGGTACTCTCTGTTCTCCCTCTTTTTTACTTCTTTGTTTTTAAAGTTCCTAATGGCATCCTAAAAGAACTTATTAGAATCCAAAAAAACTTCTTATG